TCCCCAGGAGGGTGGTGAAACCCTGGCCCAGGTTGCCCAGAGAAGCTGTGGCTGCCCCCTCCCGTGAAGTGTTCAAGGCCAGGCTGAATGGAGCTCTGAGCAACCTGGTCTGGTAGAAGGTGTCCCTGCTCATGGCAGGGGGGTTGGAACCAGATCATGTTTAAGGTCCCTTCCAACCCTTACCATTCTATGATTCTAACTAGCTTTTGTTCTGCAGAGCTTAGGCGGTCGGAGCAAGGAGAGCATGGGCTGGCACTGAGGTGAGTGTCCCGGGTCCTGGGTGGGCTCATGTGACCTCCCCTGGAGATGCTCTTTCTGTAGCCTGGCTGGTGGAGCAGCTGTGGTTGCCAGGTCAACAGCTAGCTTGGGTGTGCCCCTGTACCTGCTGCTGTCAAAATTTCTGTTTTGCAGCATGGATCTATTCAGGGTTGCCACATCTTTTAAAAGACACTTTTGTAGCTCTTGTTTATGCTCACTTGTGTCTCATGGCTGGTGCAGCCTTCATTTAAATGTATCTGAGCTCTAGTTAAAACCACTGTCTGTGCTGACATAGAAAAGGTGGGGCTGCTGTGCCTTTGTCTCCTTGGCTCACCTGGTGTTTTTCACTTAAAATATGAGCAAAAACTGCTTCATATGGAAAACATTTTAAAACAAGCTCCTGAGTAAATATACCTTTTACCTTTATAAATAACTGCTTATTAGAAAACTTAAGCTTCTAGAAATCAAGGAAAGTCATCTCAGCAAATATTGGATGTTTACAAGTTAACACAGCAATATAGAAAAATTTATATCTGCCGTATGTTTTATGGTATGTAAGATGGAGGAAAACCTGCAAATATCTTCTATTAATCTTCTAAATTTTATAGTCAAAACATTAGTCTCCAGTGTTGCAATTGTTTTTCTGTGAAGGGTAGTTGGAAAGAACAATGATTTAATGTTGATTGCTAATAGCTTCTCATTTAAATTGTTGGCGTTGCAGGAAGATTAGTTCAGGACCCCAATGTGTCAGTGCTTGGAGAAAGCTGATGCTGCCGGGGACCCAGAAAGGAACTCATCCCTCCATGGGACGGGGTCACGCAGGCTCTGCGGTGTTCAAAGGCTTTTTTTTTTTTCATTTTCAACTTTGTGTGAGTTCCTGTCCCCCCCGTGTGATTTTTCTCCTGATAAGCTGTATCACTGAACATTACAGTTTTAAACACAATGTCAGGCTTCCTGTGTTTTCTTTATGAAATATGGAAGACTTGGGCACTTTAAGGAGGTAACAAACCTGCAGAACTTCGGGTCGTGGCTTTCCACCTTCTTCCTGCACAGACCCATTCCTGTGTCGTTGTAGTAACTTCAGAGCATTTGGGATCTTCCAGTTTAATCCGTCGCTGTTGCTGGTGTGGGACTGTTGCAGCGTCACCGGGAGCCCGCTGTTACGCAGGAGCATTTGTCGCGGTGCAGAGCTGCGCAAACCTTCCTCAGTGGTGAGAGGGGAGAGAAAGTGCTTGTTTAAGGCTACAGTGTTTCATTTGTGGAATAGAAACAAAGACTGTGTGACCTGTAATCGCCTCCCCTGCCCCCCGACGAACAACCGAAAACTCTTCAAGATTGCCGCCCGGTGTCCGGTGGGCTTGAGGAAGGGCGGGTGGCTGCGGAAGGGGGAGTGTGGTTTGGTACGAAGTTACTGTTTGGAGTAACTGCAAGCGTGAGCGTTCTCCCGGTGTTGGTACTAGAGATACCTTCTGCAATGTCAGGAAACGGTTGAGAAGGTGAATCCTGTATCAGGCGATTCTGGCTTTAATCAATACCATTTAACAAAGGAATAAATCCTTCTCCTTTAAAACATACCAAGGCTGTTCAGAGCGGCAGGCTGGACTCTCCCCCTTCTGGTGTGCGAGCTGAAATGCCAGGTTAGGAAAAGAGATTGGTTTGAAATGTGGAAAAGTGTGGTGGAACGCCTGCTGTTTCCTTCTCTCCTTTCTTTTTTTTTTTTTGTTTTTTTAAACTTGAAACACTTGAGTGTATTGACATGCTTGTGATTTCAAGAGCGGTGGAATAATTTTATAGTTTGTTCCTGTTTTCCTAAATGAGAAGTCTTAAATGTTCCAAGTGGGTTGCACTTCATAGTATGTGTATCCTGTTGCTTAAAACAAGCACTCTCATGTCTGTTGACTGAACTAATAATAGTATTCAATCAAAAGAATTCCAAAACACAGCTTGAGTCAGAATATTCCTTATAAGAAGAACCAATCCCAGAGCTAATAATGAATTTCGTGTTAGATTTGGATGCTTTTAAATAGTGACCTTCAATTACAAGGCATTGTGTAATTTTTTAATTTAATAGTAAGTTGCAGAACATTCTTGGGAGTTCTTGATGTCTGCCTGTGGACCTCCAAAGCCTAAAATCTCTCCTCTAAATAGTATGTAGTCCAGGAGGAAGTTTAAGTGTCCAATTTGTGCTTTCTCATCAGATACCCGGTATGGCCTCATCATCGACACCGAAATACAATTCAAACTCCTTGGAGAGTTCCTCAAGTAAAAGAGTGAGTGTAACTTTTTTCATGTTTTTTATGTCAGAGGTCCCAGAGGTAATTATCTTCCATATTTGGGTAGAAAAATGAATATTTGAACAACTTTTTTCATGAATGTGTATGCTTATTTTTATTGCTAAAATTCTAATGCAGTTAACTGAGTTGATTTAAATATCTTTCAGAGTGAATGGGCAAAATATTCCCTGTATCACAAGTTACGAGAGCCTCCTTAAAATCAATTCTAATATACTTCCTTTTATCTTTGCTTTCTACATTGAAATGTTCTCTGGCATTCTTCAAAATTTTTGGCACTTTGCTGCTGTAGAAAAATTCTGTACTGCAACTGATAAGTTGTACCTGGTTATGTTTGGCTGGCTCAGTTTTAACACGTTCATCTGTAGTGGGGAACACATTAAAGCAATCTAAATGGCATTCCGCTCCGCTTTTTGGTGCTGCGTGGCTGAGGAAAATGTAACCTGTGCGCGAGGAAACAGAAACTAAGGCTTTATTTAGCTTTTGAAACATTTCTTCAAAAACAAATACTATTTTCTATTAATCATTCTTAAAAACTACTGAACGTGGGAGTTACAAATGAGTAGATTGTGTGTAATAGTTGTGAGGACATTGCTTAAGTGATTTCAGTTGATTTGTTCTTCCAAGCCCAGCACACTTGGAAAATTAAATACACAAAACTGTCAGAGAACTGTATAGACATGTAATTCCAATTTAATGCAGATATAGTTAACTATTCTTTTAGAAGGAAAAAGACTGGAAGATGCTTCTGTTTCAGATCTGTTAAACCTTTGAATGTTTAATAGTTGCAGTTTAGGATAGTGGCGCATGTTCCTGTTTGGTTCAGTCTGTCAGATTCTACTGTGGAAAAACCTGTTCTCTCCCATGCAGCACCTCTAAGATTTTTTTTTTTTTAATATAAAACTGAAACTTGAAAGAATTGTAGATAAAATACAGGGTGCTGTTGTACTTCTCTTTCTTTAGACTCTGAAAGATGGAACTAACTGGGAACAAAATGAAGAAATACCTCGTCTGCCAGGAGAGACTCGAGTTACAGGTATGAAGCTACATGGCTGCCTAATGCGGTGTATGTTTAAGAGTCTGGCATATACATGTATCTTACTGGATTCTGTCATAATTTGGACTGGCTTGGGCTGGAGGCGCAGGTAATTCATGTTAAAATGTCATGAAGTTTTTTAGGTAGTTGCAATAGGGATTTCTTATCACAAATAACTGAAGTCTAATATCTTGGTTTCCACACATGGCAGATCCCCCAATACAAAGAAATTGCAAGTCAAGAGGTGTCATAATTGTATCTACAGACGAAGTAGCGTGTGTCTAGTGATGAGAGCCACTCCAAGCTTTCAAAGTCAAGAGAATTCTGCACACTACCTACTATGTATTGATATTTTGTATGGTAGTGTGGAACCCTAGCCCAAACTGTGACTACCCTAAGTACAATCTTATGCTTCCTTGACACAACATGGCATGCATGTAGCTACTATGCCTGTGTTAGCCATCACATACAGTAATGGTGTAGCGTAAGGAAGATCAATGTATTGCATACAGGGGTTGCTTACTTGATGGAGACTCTTCCTGGAACAGAGCCTTCCACTCGTGGAAGTTTGTGTTGAGGTAGCAGAATGCAACTGAAAGTGGTGTGTCTTTTGTTTGTGAAGCTTCTCCTTCCCCCCTGCCCGAGGATTTGTTGGGTGGATTTGTGAACAAGATCTGCTGAGGTGGTGATTCAGAGGAAGTAGTTATGTTTTGAATGAGGAAAGTTGCGGGGAAGGCATGAGGGAGAGGGTGTGGGACTAAGATGAATGATCCTTATGAAAATTGTGCTTTGGGGCAGCATGCTGGAAGGAGGGTGCTTGTCGTGAAAGGCAGATAAATCGATTGGGCTAAAGAAATGAGTGGGCAGGGAGAAACAGGTGGTTTGTAGTGCTTCACTTAAGTCTTTAATGAAATTACTGCAGTTGAATCTTTCTTTTTTGAGGAGTATGTATTAGTACTCGTTTTGTCACTGTCCTTGCTGAAACACTGCTGATGGCTCTGCTGTATTTGATTGCCTCAAATTGAAATGTAATGTTTCTCGTCAGGATGATGGGTTCCCCTAAATACTTTACAACTTGAACTATGTACTGCAATGCAGAATTGGTGACAGAGCACTGAAAGATGTAATGGTATCAACAGAAGAATGTATTTGTTCTGGGATAGTGAATAGACTGGTTCATTTATCACAGAGAGGACTTAAATCTACTCGCTGGTCTGTGTCCTGGCTTCTCCCACCTAGTGCAGAGAAAGAAAAGAGCACAAGTGTAACTAGGGAAGGCTACTGAAATCTGCTGATTTAATTGGGGCAAGTTTAGTATATAAAACTTCCACCTTTCCTTAATTCAAGTGGACAAAATTCAGATTTACTACTTTTAAAATTCATTCATCTCTCAGAGTGGCTCTTATGAGTGCAGCTATCTTTATTTTACTGCTAGTTAACTGGTGCTGTCCTTAGCTCTGATTTTTTTCTTTTCACAATCTTTGAGAAATATTGTATTTCTTACAGACAAGGATGTTATTTATATGTGTCCATTTAATGGCCCCGTTAAAGGAAGAGTGTACATCACAAACTACAGGCTGTACCTAAGAAGTGTGGAAAATGTGAGTAATAGGCCACAATTCCTTCCATGGGATGAGTTGGCTTTAAACCCCCTTCCCTTCACCCCCACTGCCTTTGATTTATTTTGTGGCCAGCTCATTTGTTTTAGTTTTGGCACACATAGGCTTGTGAAATTGCATGGGAGGCTTTTTACTTGAAATGGTCTGTAATATTTGTAATAAGAATATCGTAATTGCCTTTGTGCCACTGAGAAGTCCGTATAACAGTGGAAGTTCTTTAAAGTTAAATGTGTTGTAAAAGTGTGATTTTTTTTTTTTTTTCCCCCCTGGTAAAATTACAGTTTAATCACACTGAACTGATACCTTTATCTTTCGTCTGTTGGAGTTTTTTTGATAGCTGTTCCATTTACACTTACTCTGTGATGGATCAAGGGCAGCAGCTAATGATGTGCAGTGGTTCTTAAAATGGCTATCAGTAAACCAAGAGTTTGATTGTCCTTGCTGTTGGAAAAGAAAAATGCTTTGATCAATAGAACCTCATGTGGGTGGGGGGAGTATTAGGGGGTTCAATAAGTAGCAACATGAAAGAGAATAAAATATGCTTGTTATCTGTTTCATAATGTTGGTTGTTTTTTTAAAGAAGTTTTAGGACTATTGAACTGAGGTCTTTCTGGTTGCCACTAACTCTACTAGTAATCTCTTTTTCATTTTGTTCTGCTTCATTCTGTATATCAATAAAGCATTCTTAGCAAGCACAGGCAATCATAAGGATGTAGCAGAAGGCATCTTTTAGGGTGTTGCCACCTTTTTTCCCTGCATGCTGTATTAGGCATGAAGTATTTTTGTTGCGTGTTAAATTGGGTGATGTTCAAGGCTGTAGAATGACTGTACAGACTTCGTAACTTGTTGGGAGTGGAGACTCAATCAAATGCAGAAACACACTTTTGCTTCCTGTATGTATTTCACGTCAGCGTTCTATTCAAGAATGCAGAAGAACATTTTACTTGAGTCTTCTGTTCAGATTAATCTTTTCCTTATTCAAACTTTCCTTGCAGGATCCAGTTGTGGTACTGAATGTTCCTTTGGGTGTAATTTCAAGGGTTGAAAAAATGGGAGGAGCTTCAAGCAGAGGAGAGAACTCTTATGGATTAGATATAACCTGTAAAGTAAGACTTTCCAATAATTCAATAGGAAATGAAATCTGGACGTTCCTTTTCTCACTGCTTATCTATTTATGGGAATGAAAACACAGATGTTGCTCATGGTGGAGTTTAAAAAGAGCTTTTGGGAACTGGACAGGGAAAAACCTTTTGTATAAAGGGCTATGTAACTGTCCTCTCTGCATGCGAGGAGAGGGATTGGTCAATTGACAAGAAGTTTTGCACAGTAGTCTTGTTTTAGGGCATTACCCCTGCATTGATTCATTATCATAGAATCATAGAATGGTAAGGGTTGGAAGGGACCTTAAAGATCATCTAGATCCAACCCCCCTGCCATGAGCAGGGACACCTTCTACCAGACCAGGTTGCTCAGAGCTCCATCCAACCTGGCCTTGAACACTTCCAGGGAGGGGGCAGCCACAGCTTCTCTGGGCAACCTGTGCCAGTGTTTCACCACCCTCACGGTGAAGAACTTCTTCCTAATGTCTAATCTAAATCTGCCCTCTTTGAGTTTACAGCTGTTCCCCCTTGTGCTATCACTACACACCCTTGTGAAAAGCCCCTCTCCATCCTTCCTGTAGGCCCCCATCAGGTACTGGAAGGCTGCTCTAAGGTCACCCCAGAGCCTTCTCTTCTCCAGGCTGAACAGCCCCAGCTCTCTCAGCCTGTCCTCGTAGGAGTGGTACTCCAGCCCTCGGATCATCTTCGTGGCCTCCTCTGGCCTTGCTCCAACACATCCATGTCCTTCCTATGTTGGGGGGCCCCAGAGGTGGATGCAGGATTCCAGGTGGGGTCTCACGAGAGTGGAGTAAAGGGGCAGAATCCCCTCCCTCGCCCTGCTGGCCACAATTCTCTTGATGCAGCCCAGGATACAGTTGGCTTTCTGGGCTGCAAGCGCATGTTGCTGGCTCATGTTGAGCTTCTCATCCACCAGTACCCCCAGGGTCCTTTTCCTCAGGGCTGCTCTTGAGCCACTCCCCGCCCGGCCTGTACTTGTGTTTGGGATTGCCCCGACCCATATGCAGGACCTTGCACTTGGCCTTGTTGAACTTTCTGTGGTTCATGCAGGCCCATCTCTCCAGCCTGTCCAGGTCCCTCTGAATGGCATCCCTTCCCTCCAGCGTGTCAACCACACCACACAGCTTGGTGTCGTAGGCAAACTTACTGAGAATGCACTCAGTCCCACTGTCCATGTCCATGTTAGTTCATTTGTTCTAAAAGCAATTTTTTTATAATGCTAAAATCTTTGAAGAACACCTCAAATGGGCGATTTGTGAGCTGTAAAGGCAGTGAGAAGCTTATATAACAGCTATCTCTATTTCTGTAGTCTCATAGAAATATTACTTTGCCATGAAAAAATATGGTCATAGGGGAGTTCGCAGGGGATAATTCAGGATCCTTTATTTGACTGATTAATGGAGTATGTATACATGTTTGATTCTTAGTAGTTAATGAGCAAATTGCTTATTTTTGACGTTAGTGATGAGAAAATAGCTAGGGATAACATAGTCTAGACAGATTATTGGCAAATTTTCATTTTGAAACCAAAGTAACTCCCATCCTGCAAACATTCAGTAGCCCATGAGACTTTTTAGTGGATCAGATGCAGTCATTTCTGATGGCGTTATGCCATAGCAGCGTTTGCATGACACAGAACGTGGTACTGCTTCATTTGTAGAATTCTTATGCTCTATTCTGTTTTATGGGAGAAGAAATAAAACTGAACATTCATGACGGTTTGAGGTGTGTTGCAAGCAGATTCTAAATCATGTTTAGTGCATAATATAGCATTTGTATATCAGATGAAAGTATGTTACTGCTTTGGTTCTCTTAAAAGATAATGCCTTTGTTTTAGGATATGAGAAATTTACGGTTCGCCTTAAAACAAGAAGGGCACAGTAGAAGAGATATATTTGAAGTCCTCACAAAATATGCTTTTCCCCAGTCACATAACTTGGTAAGTTTCGTCATTCATGCTATTGAGTGGTCTTAATGCAGAGTTCTTGCCAATTAACTTTAACTGTTTGACCTACTGATGGACATCATGGCTGCTTAAAAAGAATAACCACAGAATCTGGTGTCAGCATAAACTAAAGAGAATTAATGTTTTTATTTTGTACATTTACAACACTTATATCTATGTGTTTGTAAAACTATGGATGCTATATGCTATACTTTAGGTAAACTACTGAGCTCCTCTGATCCATACAGATTTCATTGCTTAGAGACTACAGGTTATCTCTCCAGTTAGGAAATGCAGTAGTACATTCCTTACGTGGTTTCTTGAAAATATTCAACTATTGGGCAGTCTCCAGGGCAATGGTAAATATGAATCACCAAGAGTTTTACTTCAGGAAAGGAAGACACGGTAAAACAACACTTGTTTTATTGATGAAACTGATGAATAATAAAGCAGGCAGCCAATATAGTAGTGAATTTACACGGATGTATTTCAGGTAAAAAAACATTCTTATGGCAGGAATTGAGCAACAGTGATGTTGAATAACAATTATCTTCCATTTCTTTGCTGAAATCTGTGTACTGTGCTTGGTGGATTATTTTGGCATCTCTTTACTAAATTGCTTTCTTTTGTAAAATTCAGTTTACATTTTATTGGGGTGCTTTCATTTAGGATAATTGTGTTAAGAGCTCTCTTCATAAAATGCTGGAGGGTTCTGCTATGAATTTTCAAGAACTTTGTTCAGGGAATTGTTCAGTAGATGAGGCTGCAGCAAAAATCTTACTTCCTTCTCCAAAGGTAGATGTCAATCGATGGGCTATACTCTATAAACATTTAATTCTTTGAAACTTTTTTGCAGAAGTTTTGAATTTTGTATGCAAACAGTCTGTGGAATGAAAGCATCAAGAAAAGTAAATGCTTTTGCTTTTAATATTTTGTAGTGTTGACGAATAGGTCTTAAGAAATTAAACTGAGATTTCTACATTTGGGTGGGTGTGAGGAGTTGTACTCACAAATAAAGCTGTTGTAGAAGTAGTGAATATAGCTCTAACTCTACTGCTGGCATTTATTCATCTTACAATAGGGAATGATTGAAAGCATAACAGGATATATGGGCTTTGAGAAGATGATGGAAAAGAGAGAGAAAGCTATATATAGAGATAGCAAATTGTAGAGAAATTTAGGTCAACAGAGGCTTCTGGATGTCATCTGGTCCAGGCTTCTGTTGCAAGTAGGGTCGTAGATTAGGCACGGTCAAGCCTAGGCTTGTGTATTTCCTGCAAGGTAGATTCTGTCATGTCTCTTGGTAAGCTCATCCAATATTTAATTATTCTCATGGTGAAGAACATTGAGGACCCGTGTGGATTTGCATGTAGTGAATGTGGACAAATCACATTGTAAGTGACTTAGAGTCCCTTGTGGAATTCTTCTATGGTGTCCAGTCCAGCTATGGGACTTGCAATAACGTGGTGATGAGATGTGGGCTTGTATTAGGTTTTGCCATCCAAAAAGACCCGATGTTCCTGTCTAGTGATGATAGTGAGTCATGTGTGGAGTGGTACACTTCCTGCTTTGTTTCTCGCAGCTGTTGAACCTGGTAAAGCTCATCATTAATTACATTAATTACTGCCTGGCCCATTTTGCATGTAACTTGCCAATAAAAGTTACGCTCAATAAAAGAAGACTTGGTTAAGGCAGAGGTGCTTTTGCCTTCAGATTCAGTAAAGCATAGAACTTGGGAAGATAGTGACAAAATTGAGAATGACTGTACTTTATATCCCTTAGCTATGTCTGGAGCATGGTGTAACCGTTAGAAATTATTATTACTTTGGAGTGAAATAAAGTGAGCCGATGTTATATCGGGAAGTTGCACCTGTCCTTATTTTCTAATATCACAATGTGGACGAGCCCTTAACTTTAAAAAGACCTAAGCAAGTGTGTGGTATTTTTGGTGTGCTTTCTCTGTATTTCAGCAAGCAGTTTAAATTGATCTTGCAAAAGGTGGGTATTTCTGCCTGGTTGTTCGTTCCTGCCTTGGATGTCCCTGCATGAGTTTGAGGCTGCATGATCAGCCAGACAGGGACCTGAGAGGGACTCAGGCTAAACAAGGAGAGGAAAAACAAAAGCTTTACCCGGAGTCATTTCCTCAGTCTTGTTAGCCCAATGTGAGGATGAGTCGGGGCATCTACGGGTGGCTGTGAGCGAAAAGGGATGATGGGACTGCCTCCTTCAGTGGCTGGTTTAGAAGAAGGTTTCAGTGTCTGAATATGACAGTATGTCCGGGCTGTGCATGCCTGCCCTCTCCTTTGAACGTATGCAAACACTCTGACCGTGCAGCCAGCTCGATCAGGGAGATCTTTTACCAAGAACGTGCTGTGGCTTCACATAACAGCTGGGTGAAGATGGCAGCCCTCTGCTACTCAAATGCTGAGCTCTTGCTGTTCTGTGGTCTCAGAAGGAGACTCTGCCTTCCAGCCATGTGGTTGATTATTCCTCCTATACCAAACTGGCAGTTGTATAATCACCAAGTAGGCCAAAGTAGCTCACTTATCCAGCACAAAATATTCTGTTTTCTGAATTAGTCCTGTGCCACTTCTAATAATTTGAGGAGACCTAGTTTGAAATCAGTGTGCACCAGAACCAGTGCAAGAGAGGGCATGTGAACGGAACAGGGAGCAGGCAGGAGAGGAGGAGAGGGGTGTCCTATTTTTAGCGGTGTTAAACTGGTAATTTTGCTTGTGCAGCTCTGTGGTGGAAAGAAGGCATCATCAGGACAATAAAGGTCTAGCCCTTTGCTGTCCTGATTTTTAGCTGTATTTTTATATTTTATGTCAAATTTTTATCTGTAGTGGAGCCATATCCTTTGAGCTGATCCTAAACAAGAGCTTTTAAAGATGCCTTGCTTCTGTTTTCTTCATGCTATACCATTCTTGGACAAATGGATGGCCCAAAACATTATTTCTGAGTGGAGTGTACTTACTGTTTTCAAGATTTTTCTCCATCGCCATCCCAACAGCAGTGTTTCAGAGTGTGTAATAAGTTGCCTGTTTGCAACTGTTCAGCAGTGTCTCAACATTGTTCTGTGTGCTTACTCCCAGAGCTAATTCTTGTCTCTCCCCAGTTTGAGCATAGATTGGGTTCAGATCTCCTTGAATGTAAAATCTGATAGCTCATCTGACTGACAGTTCAGCTGATATGGATCAGACAGCTGCTATCCATAATCCTCTGTTGCATTTGCAAACTTGTGCTAATTTAAAGAAAACTATTACTGGAAGTATTTTTAAAAACGTTTTTAAAACACACCAAAACCAAATAAAACCCAAACCCCCCAAAATTAAATGTTTGTAGTACCCCACAAAAGATGAGATACATTTAGTCTCTGTAGTTTAGTTTCTGCATAGCAGCTGCTTCACCTCCTGATCTTATCTTGAAACCACCCATCATCGTTTTTATAAGACCATTTGCCACCATGAAACCTGCATGATACGTATGTATTTCTAACCGTGATAGCTCTGTGGGAATGCCAGTTTTGATGAGAGACACTGGTAGTCACGCTGTCTGACCTCGCCCATTCCCGATGTAGCTAGTTATCTTATAATTTAAAATGCTGAGTCAGACCATGCCAGCGTTGCTGTTGGATCTGCGAAGATGGCAGCGAGGCCTGGCAGAGGTGCCTGTCTAATGGAGCCCTTGATTTTGCAAACAAAATCTTGACTTGAGACTTCATTCTGAATGACTTATGTCAGTCTCAGTGCAGTAATGGTTGGTGTAAGGTTGCCATATTCACAAATGATCAGAATTTAATTATGAAAATGCAATATCTGATCTTAGTGTTTAGATGGACAGGTGAGACATAACTGGCTGAGTTATAGTAACAGCATATTAAAGGCAAGGATAACGATACCTTTATTTTTAAATGCACTGAGAAACTGACCGCCTTTTCACTGAGTAAAAGCTTAGTGCTTTATAATATATGAAAAGCATAAATGAGTAAGTTAGAAATAGAAAAAACAATTGACTTTCTTTGCATGTGTGTAACACCTTCTTGTTCTAGTTTTGGTGCTTTCTTCTTTTTATAATGCGTGAAGATTGGTCAAATATTTAGTAAATTGTATATATGTCATATGCTTATGTACAAGTAGAACATGTATTTATGTACTAGGATTCCATAAATAGAGTAAATATATAACTGCTTGTAAATAGACCGCTTGCCAGACTATTGTCAGATTGCAGCTGCTCTCTCCTTTATCTTGCAGAGCGACATTGTGTTGTGAGCAACCAGTGTATCGCATATTTTTATGTGCAAAATGGTAATGATAAATTGAACATTGAAGGCAAGCTCTTAATCTGTAGGAGGACTGAAAGAGACACTCTGTGTGTTGAAATTGTGGGTTAGCACCTGCAAGGAAGTAAACAGAATTATTTGCACAGTGAAGCATAAAAAGTAGCTTACCAAAAATGTTAGAAGATTTGAAAGATTTTTTTAAAGTGAAGTAGTAGCCTTCTGCTTCAAGTGAAGCAGTAGTCTTCTGCTTTTTAGACTATGGATCTGCAGTGAAATCTGTACTTCCATTCTGCGGAAAGAAGCTTTAATTTGCTTTATTTAAATCTTAACTGATGTGCTCATAAGTCTTACTTGTTTTTGCCAAGTACAGGTATGGATAAGTTGCAAGCCTTGCACCGCATAAGCTTTCTGTGTGGTGATTTACTATACTTTTTATTATTTCTTACCTCTCTAATGCTTTCCTCGATTTCTTCTTTCTGTTTCCCATGGCAGCTAAAAAGAATTTAAAGCTGATTTTTAATTAGTCGATAGATGAATAGGAATTGATGGGCTTCCTTCAGACACGTAGCACTAATCTCCATCAAATTTAGGACAGATATGGTCAATACATTGGAAGTGATTGCAGACTATCCTGCTTTGAACCCAAGATGTGAGATAAAACCAGTAATCGGTATAACTTAGGGTAAATCTATGCTTTCTTCAAGTGGCTTTTGGCTAGCTGGTCTCAGTGCTGAGAGGAGGGAGGCCAGCTCAGGCTCGCTGCCTGAAACACTGACTGACTGAGCAGGGGGTCTACCTGAAACTTGTGCTGTTGCTTGTACTTAGTCAATGTCCAACCAAACTAATCTAGAGTTGGCTCAGGTATACCTGTAAAAACCACAGTTACACTTGCTGATTATATTTTCCTGATTTTTAAAAGCCTGTTCATGATCTAAGGAAAAAAAGCAATACATGCTTGTATTTTGCTGCAGTATTATTCTGAACTTGAATGTCTTTGTGTAGGGGTTTTATTTGTTTTTACATTTCCAACCATTTTTGTCTAATCTAGACACATATAATGAAGCTGCAGTTGATTTAATTCCTGGGAAAATAGGCTGGGTGCAGTAGGAGCTGTGGAGAAGTGCTTTTTGTTGGAGAAGCAAGGATTAATGATGAGAGAAGCGAATGGAATTTTGTGTGTGGAGGGGAGAAAGAAACAAGCGGAGGTTAGGATGGGGGCTCAGAGCACCGAAAGTGTTGTCTGGGGAGAAGGAGGGTTTAGCAGGGATGCACCACAGATGAGGAGGGAAGGAAAGATGTGTGTAGAAGGTGTGGAGCAGAACTGGCCAGTTATACTCTGATATTGGAAAAGCTTGCCTGCATGCAGAATGATGCACTGGGAGAGGTCGGCAGGGCTTTTCTGCGTTGTGGAGCTGTGCGATTCCTATAGCAGGTCATGTAGTTTGCTTCTCCCACCTTCCTCTGCCCTCCACACTCTGAAGGATATAAATACACACCCAGCTGGTCCATGCTAAAAGCCTGTGGGCCGTGAAGTGGCTTCCCTGTTTTCACCCTGACATGAGGTGTGTGTATGTGAGGGGCACTGGTATGAAGGAACCTGCATCCACAAAAGCCTAAGCCATGTATTATTACTAAGATAGCGCCTCTCAAATCTTACGTCAAGTGATATGAGAACCTATGCAGAATATATTGTAAATGACCTAATGTCTTCTCATCATTTCTCTCTGTCCCATTTGCCTGCTGCACTGTAGAACTGCATTCAGATTACGTGCACTGTGATGTGAAAGCTTCAGCAATGTTAAGTTAATCAAGACATACAGATACAAACATACTGTTTTTAATTTGTAAGCTTGGGTTATTTAGGGCAAAAGTGGAAATGTGTGGGTCATTAGTGCAGATGTGAAGCTTACCTGAACGGTAACAAGCCCTTCTGGGGTCTAAATATGTGTTTACCACATTGATTTGTTCACTATAATGGGGTTTGTCAATTTGGTGCATCAGAATAATAAAAGATTCAATTCAAAAAATGTTATTCAATAGAAATGACTTCACATTGTTCATTATCACATTTTTTTCTAATTAATAAGAGTAATGTACAAATGTGTGTTAAATATGGCTTGTACTGACACAAGTAACAAAATACAGTTGTATCAAAGTATGTATCTTATATTTAAGTATATGATTCTTAGTATTAAAATGGTTATAAATGTGGGTGTTTCTTACACTGAAGTTAAACTGTAGTTTGAAATTAAATAGAACTATATGAAAAGAGCATAAATGTATGCAGAGTTTTAAATGCATGTTCTCCTACTCTGACTTTGCTGTGTCATGTTGGAATATCTAGAGGGATACAAATTTTACTTTCCTCTAATGAGCTGCTTAAGTGGATGTGAATGTACAAAAATCTTAGGTTGAGAAATTACTGTAGATTGTATATTGTTGAATGGAACCATGCTACGACTGTCAGAGTGGAAAAGGAAGCATTTTTACTCTTTGAAACTGCTTTATATATTGCTTTGTATATTTGGTTGTGAGAGACAGGCCTACGGTAGGGTGGGGATGTTGTTGTGTTTCAGACTCCAGCATCTAGCCTGGACTAAGAAAAGTAATTCTTAGTGTTCAGGTGTTTAGATACTATTCATCTTTAAATACTGTTCTTGTTGGAGTAGACTTCAAGAGTTTTCTCCGAATTGCTCATATAAAAATCTAAGTCCAAACTTTGCTGCATACACCTTCACATTCAGTGTAGTGTTCTGTTATTTGTTAGATTTTTGCTGGTTGATCCATGCTACTAATGACTTTTTTTTTCTTGAGCAATGTAGTAAAAATTTGTACTACCTGGAATGTCAACGGAGCTGATGAAGCTTAATTGTGAGCTTGAATAGTTGTGGGTTGTGTGACTGAAAGCCTTCGTAGCAGATGTGGTAAAGCTGCTGTAGCTAAGTGTTTTAAACGAACCATGCTGTACATAGGAGGACACTGTTCTTTCAGAAGGGATTCTGTCCATTGCCTCATGCATAATAAATGCAACCCTGGTCTTTAAAAGATGAGAACAAAATACACTTTTCCATTTGATTCCTTGTGGATTATTTTGTGGGTGACATGAGTAGTATAGCTGCCATTTGTTTATTTCTAGTTTGGAGCAGCACCTTCTTTATTTTTTATCAGTAAAATCTTCTATGTAACAGCTATCACAGTGACTGTAATAAACTTGTGTATTTTACTTATCAGGTCTTAAGCTGGGTAATTTTTAAGTTCTGACCAGGAAACTTGCAGTAATTAGCAACTTAAATAATATAGTCCAGCCTTTGAGATATCTTTTAAGCGATCTGTTAGGATTCCAGTGTTTCTGTTTCCTACTGTTACAAGATTCTCCTTTGTCTCTGGTTGCTTGGTGAATTCTTGGCATAGTTGCTCTTCGGGATATAGCAAATTCCTTTGGGGAGGAGGGGATGGTTCTTGTGTGTAGCTATTTATTAATAATTCAGCAAGTGAGTTACTTCTGCTGCTTTAGATAGTGATATTCCTGTTTTGCTGTATTCCTAGTCTGCAATTAAAACAAACAATTTTTTTAGTTTTTCTGCTTGACTTCTGACACTTAGATCTACTTATAATGGAATGGGGGTTTTTTTTATACAGTTGATGTCCACCTCTCTTCCTTTCTTCATCTCTCTCTCTGTCCCACTTCACAGCAGTTTACTTAGTCAAAAGAATCTGTTATGTTTACTTACACTGAAGGCCTACCCCTTTAAAAAACATGCCGAAAAAACAATTTGGGAATGCATTGGTTACTGCTGCAAACTTGCCAATGAATGTAATTGCTCTGAAATACTGATTTAATTTAAAATTCCAGTTTCTAAAACTACTGGGATAAAGTGTGTGCGGTAACATGCTTTTAAAATGCTTGTTGATTTGAAATACATGAGGAGAAATCTCCTTTTGGAGGGATTCGTTTTTGTGGTTTGATCAGAGCTGTGCGCTGTTTAAACCGTTGTAACATGTGAAGCTGAACAGAGTTGCCCCAAGCCCTTGGGGTCTGCTTTTGTAAGATCTGAAGAAGCCTCCAGCTGGGGCTATGGAGCTGGTGAAGCGTTGCCTTACCTCTGCAGCCGTAGTCAGGGCACCTTAGAACCACGATTCTTTTTCTTGTGCCAAGTTTTCTTTATTTCTGCTTAGTTCAGGTCTATGGCTGTGAAAATGATGTAGATTTGGGATGTTCAGTTTAGCATTCAATTTCTTCTGTTAATGTCTTTGAATAGCTAGGAGACTTTCAACTTTTTTGTTACAAATGAGCTATGATGGGCTTTTGAATGCTCTCTGCTCTGGCTGCTGTTGCTCAGTTAGCTCAGGACAGCACACTCATTTATTTTTTTCTTTTCTTTTTTTTTTTTTTAAAAAAAAACCCACTTAGTTTCATGCTCCAGTTGGCATCTGAAGAATTCGTAAGCCACCAAAATCAATTTTCTTAGTGAAGGAGATTCTTAAAATACACATTACTTTTGCTTTCATCATAATCTGTAAAAACAAACCAAGGAGGAGAGGTGTTAGCTAGGTAACACAGCCCACTTGGAACTGGTTGAAAAGGGAAGGGAGCTAAAAGGTGTGAAGAAGCTGTCAGAATCCTGGGTGAGGATGCTGTGTTGTATAAATGAGTCCTGAGAGTGAGCAACAAGGCAAGAGAAAAGTAGGTAGTGTAACCTGCTAACAACATATATTGTTTCATTTTCAGTGGCAACTTTTTAATTTTCATGGAGTTTTACAGTAAATTGAATTTCTGTTAGTAAGGATCAATTGGAGAGGGGATGCAGAAAAAAAGGCTGCTTGCTAATGGCAATGAATAGCGCTTAAACCCTTATTACACTTCCAATTCAGTGTCTAATAATTTATATGTTAATTGCAGCTGTGCCCATTGGAGGAATTTTGGTGAGAAGATAATAGTTTATTTGGTGAGGATGTGAAATATGGGAAATAAACTGATATAAAATATTTTAAAATATTTCAGGCTTCTGACAGTAAAAAAAAATCCAACAGTTGAGGCTTTGTGATTTTTATTATTTTGTCACTTCTTGTTTTAACTGTTGTCATATTTTCATTATTTCATTAGCAGATCTGTATTGTTTGTTACTTCTTGCTCTTTGTTTGACAGTCTAATAAATATCAGAGAGAACGGGACTGGCATGGAAAAGTGAGTCCTATTTTGTAGTGGGCATTAGGGTATATCTGATGATGAGCCTTCATGTTTGCCACTTTCGGTCAGAGTTTGGTATAATTAGCTTCTTTTTACATCCCACAGCTTTTTTTTGCATTTGCAAATGAAGAAAAGTTTTCTGAAAATGGATGGATGGTGTACAGTCCAATGTCCGAATACAGGAGACAAGTGAGTTAGTAAAGTTGCGGTTACCTGCTGCTTTCGTATCTGACAACTTACATAGAGAAATTAGCGTTTGCACCTTTCTCTTATCAGCTCTGTTGGGGGGTGGGGCTGAGAATGGGAGAAGATGGAAATACAAGTTGAAAAAAAGTAAAGAAATAAAACACTGGAACCTTTAAAAAAATTCGAATATCACAGGAGAGCAGTCTTTGCTCTTTGAGGGAAGTTATTGATACCTGTTACAGTGTGCCACTATGAAGTGAGCAGGGGGCAGGGAGAATGTGCCAAATATGTAACTACAATGTCCTAAATATAGATTTGATTTGGTATATTCCTTCCTGAATTGAAAGAAAAAAAAAAAAGCAGCTTATTTTAGAAACAGCATTGCTTTACAGAAGTTATTTATATGTGTGTCAGTATTCTACCTTGCTCTTTAGGTGATTTTGGAAAAATGTCAATGAAAGAGCGTGATATATTTAAGATGTCTGTTACACAGTTTATTTTTGCTTTCAATATAACTTTTTATTTATTTAAATAGCAAACAATAAGGACTTCCTTAGATTTTTTTTTTTCTTCTCCTCCATAGTTTTCTGGTTCAAGGTTTAGAAGCCTAAGACCCAAAAAGGGTAAAATGTACACACCCACACAAACCCCACTACGTGTGTGTGTGTGTGTGGAGGGCTTATCAGCCTTTCTCCATTTCCTGGCTGCTGTTTGTGAAGTGCCTTACTGAGCAGACTGCAACTAAAAGTTGTTGTTTCTCAATAAAAGGCTACCCTGAATCTTATTTTTAACCTGAAGGTATTATCAGGCTACAGGGAGGAAAGGTGGAGATGAGACTTCCTCCCCGTCTCCTCAAGACCTCAGTCTCTTTTCAGCAGACAAAATGGAAAGGCAGAGCTCTGAGGGAGGAGAGAAGGCGATTTTCTTTTCTCAATCCCACAGTTAAAGAACTGCATCTATAGTTTTAATCAGTTTGAACTTTGTTGTACGAATAGAATTGTGTATTAGGAGTATACAAGACAGCTGTGCAGTTGTTCAAGGCTGTGAATCCATCAGCAATGAGCTGTTTTGTGTGGTCTTGTAACCTTTTTCCTTTTATTGTTTTGAAACAGGTTAAATTGGTAGGTTGTTGCCACCATGTGGCTGTAATGTCATGTAAAATTCAAGAGCAGGATTATTATTTGTACAGCCAAAAAAACACTGACAAATGTTGTGTTACATTGTAGGGACTGCCTAACGAACGGTGGCGAGTAACTTTTATTAATGAACATTATGGACTGTGTGACACATACCCATCGCTCTTAGTAGTGCCATATAATGCAACAGATGATGATCTCAAGAAAGTCGCTGCCTTTAGGTCCCGAAATAGAATCCCGGTGAGTATTATGTGATGAAAGTGGGCTTATAGTGTAGCTAGTTTGAAGTATGCATCCAAACGATTTTTTTGCTGAACAGGGCACAGAGGATGCTTTTTTTTAGAAGTGGTTACAGCAAAATAGCTTTGATTGGCTGGCGGTTTTTACTGCTTGGAACCAGTGTCTTGGCCAAGCCACATTTCTGGTTTTCCCCCACAACAATCCCCCGTTCCAACTTTGTTCGTTTTGACTCGACTTTTCTAGCGACAGCTGCCAGCCCTGCAGATTGCCTTTTCTTGATGAAGTATGAGCCTTAGGCTGCCCTCTGTACGAGTTGGTTGACTATTGTCAGATGCACATAGGAAGTGATAGCAAATGTTACCCTCCTTTAAGCAAGACGCATGGCATTTAAACATAGTTCCAGTGGTCAGTCCTAAAATAAGACCTCATACATAGTCTCTGCAGTGAATTCTTGGGCTTTTTAGTCCTTTAAATTGGGCTGTGGAATTCAAGATAAACCAATTTGACTTTTGGCGTATCTTTCTATAACTAAAATTCTTTAAGAGAATTTTTATGTATCAGCTCTTTACAGCACTGTAGAAAATATTAATTTCTATCACAATATATTCTGTTTTAACTAATATTTCAGTTTGGCAAACTTGGAAGAGGTGCTAGATTCTTAGCCAGGATCAGAAAGCTGCCTTGAATCTCAGTTAATTTCAAACAGATGCAGAACTCAATATGATAAATATTTAGTAGATATGGTATTTACTGACAGACTAGGCCTGTAATTATACATTTCCTATATATACACACACATATGTATATGTATAACATAACATGTATAAAATATATGTGTTAAATATATAGTGTGTGGATATAGTTCTTACAACCCATCTGCATCTTCTCTGTCACGTCAAAATTCATGACAGGGCTTTTGTATGCCTGTACACTGAGAGTCATTTCCTTGGAAATAGTAATTTTATTCTTGTCAGGAAATAACCAGTCATACTCACCCACACACAAACTGACAGGTCTCGTTTCTAGATATACAACTAAGGGCTGGATTTCAGGAGTGAATACTTTCTGAGGGTTTTTTTTTTTAACTCTGATGTTCTTTCACTGCGACCCACTGTAACTTTCAGACTGTGTGAGAATACTGTTCATTCAACGATGAAGTTGGAGTTTTTGCCTGCCCCTTGGGGTTGCTTATCTTTAATCTCTCGCACTGCGATCTGTTCCTAGGCAGCTCACTATCTCTTGTTTGTGGTAAGTCCCCTCTGGCTCAGAACAACAACGAAGGCAGCGTGCACTCTGCTCCAGTTCCTCCTCTTTGTAAAGAGGGCTGAGGAACAAAATGTACTTTAAAGAGAAGGGGAAACATTGAAGATACTGCAGAAAGGTTCAACTTTCCTTCTTTATCCAAAAAAAGGAAAAGTTGTTCTTGTAGAATTGGAGCATCTTAGTCACTGCTTCTACAAAGAGTTCATTCTTCTGAATTGTTTCTTAGTTTAGGCAGGCATTGCTATGTTTGTTTCCAGTTTGCTTTTCAGAATTGTTTGTGCAGCCTAAGACTTGTAGGAAAATATTAAACTACACTGGCTCATATGGATAAGTATAATTTCAAAAGAAATATGTAAGAGAATGACATTTTTAAAAGATTATTATTATTAAATTTTATGAGACTAAAGTGCAAGCAATTGAGATGTCTGGGGATTATCTTCTGAAGAAATAAAAATTTTAATTTTCATATTATCCATTTTAAAAAATGTAACTTAAAAATTTAAGTTATCATTTTTTAATAAAATGTATTTCTTCTAATGTGTTTTTGACATGTGACTAGGTTCTGTCATGGATTCATCCAGAGACTCAAGCTGTTGTTATGCGCTGCAGTCAACCCCTTGTTGGAATGAGTGGCAAGCGGAACAAAGATGATGAAAGATATCTTGATATTATCAGGGAGGCTAATGGGCAAATTTCAAAGCTGACCATCTATGATGCTAGGCCCAATGTCAATGCAGTCGCGAACAAGGTAAACAGATGCTTAATAGTCTTATGCATGGAGGGGAATGGGGAGGAGACTTAATTTGAAATTTGCTGTGAGGAGGTTTTTGGGAACAGTAGTAATCTTACTGTAGATAAATTTACATAATCAAATATATATTTAGATGATGAAATACTGAGGCTCAAGGCCATGAAAGGACATGAGTGCCTAAAGTAGGTCATAAGCGGCGTTTCAGGACCAAATGTGGATTTCCAGACACACTTTACCCTGCCTGTTAAGAGTCAAGCACAGATCTTAGTGTGGGACTGAAGTCAGAAATAACTGCACTCTGCACTCCGTGGTGGATGTAGGCTGAGCTGTAGAGCATGTCCTCTGTTGCAATGACATGGCACCTCTGTGCAAGCCACAGCTCTGCTTCACATCTACTGGGAAAATTCTATCCTGGAAGGGCTGTATACAGAAAGCCAAGCCCACTGATAAGCATCCTTTGTTTGGTTCTTCCTAACCATGACGTGAACTGCTTCAGACCTATGCAGGCATCCAGCAAATAGAGAGAAAGTGATAAATAAGTTAGTTTGGGGGGCTGCGCTCTAAACAGCACTACGGGTATGTTCTTGGATACCTAGATACCTGTTCCTCCCTAGGTGCCTGTAGTTGGTACGTGCAGTAACAGAAGCAATGTTTCCATAGGACAAAGTGACCATTTCTTTGCTTATCTGCGATCAAAGCCTAAATGGGACCAGAATCGTAGAACAGCCCAGGTTGGAAGGAACCTCAAAAAATCATCTGGTCCAACCTTCCTAGAAGAAAAGGTGTTCCTGTGCCTTGATTTCCCCTCTGCCCCCCCTCAACTCTGGTGAGGACCAGATCGTTCAGGCACACTCAGATAATGCCAGTCACAGTGTGTCAGTGTTGTAGCTGGTATAGGGTGCGGCAGACGTGGATGTGCTCCATGTTTGTTTGAAAAGCCTAGTTCAAGGGGCAATGGGCACAAACCGAAACATAGGAAGTTCCGTCTGAACATGAGGAAGAACTTCTTCCCTCTGAGGGTGACGGAGCACTGGAACAGGCTGCCCAGGGAGGCTGTGGAGTCTCCTTCTCTGGAGATATTCAAGACCCGCCTGGACAAGGTCCTGTGCAGCCTGCTGTAGGTGACCCTGCTTGGGCAGGGGAGTTGGACTAGATGACCCCCAGAGGTCCCTTTCAACCCCAACCATTCTGTGATTCTGTGGGAGAGAAGGTGAAGGACACAAGTTTAGTGTTTTCTTCATATGAGAATATACCAATTTAACTCCCTCCATGTCTAGGGTAGTCCCTCACTGAACTTCAAGCACAGATGAAGTGGACATGTTCTTCAGTACTTACTAGTGAAGTTGTGTGTATGCACAGCAAAGAGCATGAGAGATGAGCTCAAGAGGGTTTGAGATTTTAGTGAAATGATGAGTGTGCTTAGCTGGGAGAGAAGGAATGCTAGTTTCTGAACAGTTTTTTTTGGCACAAAATGAACACTAATTTAGTGGAATGAGTCCTCTTCAATGTTTGTGCTGAAAGGAATGTGAAATGGTAAAACTTGATTGCCTCTAGGAGGCTTGTATGTAACAAATGTTAAGTTGCTTTGGAATTCGAGAGACAACGTTAGTGGCTTGTTCCGTGTAACTTACAAGCACACATCTGTACCTTTGCAGCCCTCTTCTCTATAACAGAGAATATAATTTATTATGCACGAAATAAGACTTTGTTTTGTAACATACATTCTTTCAGAGACTCTATCCTAGGCACTGTTTGACTAGGTTTTAATCTGATGTTTTGTATTTTGAGGGTCTGCCTCAGTTGCTTGCATTTTACTGTACAAATTGCATTATCTTCTGCACACGGAATTTTTATGGGTGAACAAAAGATATAATCCTTCTGTTTGCCTTGTGGAAGGAATGTCGATTCTCACATTAACTTAAATTTTTCCCCAGTTCTTGGACAAATTCAGATTTTTACCCTATTTGTTTCAAAGATATATTATAGTCAAACGTTACACACACTTATTGAAGTGTGTAGCAGAGTTTTCAACTTTTTAAAATGGTCTACATATCATCAGTGACATAAACAGCGGGATCAGGTGCACCCTCAGCAAGTTTGCAGATGACACCAAGCTGAGCGGTGCGGTCGACATGCCTGAGGGGTGGGATGCCATGCAGAGGTACCTGGCCAAGCTCAAGGAGTGGGTCCATGTGAACCTCATGAGGTTCAACAAGGCCAAGTGCAAGGTCCTGCACATGGGTTGAGGCAACTCCTGGTATCAATACAGGCTGGAGGATGAATGGATTGAGAGCGGCCCTGCTGAGAAGAGCTTGGGGGTACTGGTGGATAAAAAGCTGGACATGAGCCGGCAATGTGCGCTCGCAGCCCAGTAGGCCAACCATATCCTGGGCTGCATCAAAAGCAGCGTGGCCAGGAGGGTGACGGAGGGGATTCTGCCCCTCTGCTCCCTACTGGTGAGACCCCCATCTGGAGTCCTGTGTCCAGCTCTGGAGCCCTCGGCACACGAAAGACATGGACCTGTTGGAGCGGATCCAGAGGAGGCCACAAAAATGATCAGAGGGATGGAACACCTTCTGTGAGGAAGGGCTGCATTGGGGTTGTTCAGAAGAGAAGGCTGTGGGGAGACCTTATTGTGGACTTTCAGTACTTAAAGGGGGCTTATAAGAAAGATAGGGACAGACTTCTTAGCAGGGCCTGTTGTGATAGGACAAGGGATAATGGCTTTAAACTGGAAGAAGGTATATTTAGACTGTGTATAAGGCAGAAATTTTTTACAATGAGGGTGATGAGGCACTGGCACAGGTTGCCCAGAGAGGTGGTCGATGTCCCATCCCTGGAAACACTCATGGTCAGGTTGGACAGGGCTCTGAGCAACCTGATGCAGTTGAAGATGTCACTGCTCACTGCAAGGGGGTTGGACTAGATGACCTTTAAAGGTCCCTTCCAACCTATTCTATGATTCTGTTTCACCCATGTGTTTTAATTAACTCCTGATATATGAAAAAATCACAGCGGTAAAAGCAGTAGGATGCATTTCTGGCTCTGAGGGACAGTGACATAGAGAGTGGAAGCCATTGTTGGTCAGCACTGAAAAAAGTCTTCTTGAACAGCTGTGAAGATTAATGTAAGCAAAATCTTCGGCTGTGCTACTCATGCATTCCTGTGTTCTTTGTGCATAGGTCAAGACCACACAGTCAGTAGGAGCTGCAGCAGCCCTGATGTTAAAATTACAATTGTTCCTCATCAGGACTTCATAATACCCAAAGGAAAGAGAAAAATACGATTGTTATTCTTTAGCACTGAGCCTGGCAGCTCTGAGAATACCCCCCCATCTGAGGAAGGAGATAGAGAGCATAGAATAGAGATACTGTGCTACTATGCAGAAATGTAGGTGGTACTAATGGGGAAAGTCTTTACTGTACTTTAGGTTGTTGTCTGATGTTTAGTTGGTGGCTGTAATGGCTTACAAAGGCAAAATTTATTTATCACAATTCATGGCGTGGCATGTTTTTACTGCCTGCAGGAAATGCTGTGATTTTGCAGCTATCTTTGGAAAAACCTCATCAGTGGTACTGTGTCCTAAAATATGTGTGGTTTTTCTGCTTCCTTTTGTGACCAGACACATCCTCTGCTGTGGTGGTGGTTAAATGTTTTGAGAGAGCAGCAGCAGAACAGACTTTCTACTTGTGGGGCTCTTTAATTTCTTAATGATCTAAATACACGTTTAGTCTTCATCAATGAAATTTAATGGTGAAAAAGTTACTTTAATGTTATTACTAATTGACTTCTTAGAGGCAGAATCTAAGATTCATGAACTTAGTTCTTGAATGAAACGTAGCTTATGACTGAACTCTTAAATTTAATTTTACTTGGCCAAAAATTTTATCAAAAATGATACCTATTTTAGTATCGGGTCAATAACTAAGCAGTTTAAACATACGAAAGATTTTGTTGTTGTTTTTGGTAGCAAGTTTGCACTGGTAAACCTGAGACTTGCTATCTGTTGAATTAGTGGTGTAAAGAAACAGACAAATCCTTTTGACTGAATTTCTTTCTAATTGGTACAGAAACAAAGGAAAGAGCAATTTTATTCCCTGAAGTGGTGAACTAGTATGTTATGAGTAATTGCTGTTTTGTGTCATGTACTTTACGTTTTAATTTAAACCTTATAATCTGTCTGCAAAGTAAGTTGGTTTCTTTTGTATTCAGAATCATGAGTTGGTTTAATCCTTGGTGGGAAAAATGAACATAAATGAAGAAAAAAATACAGACATTGTAATGTCAGTTGGTCAATGAAAAGCTGTTTCCATCATGAATCTCGAAAGTAATGGGGAAGGTACAAAATGTCTTTTTATTCTCAAAGCAGTCTGAGTCCTGACTGGTGTGATGCTGGGCCACAGTCCCTTACCTGGCTAGTTCAATCCTGTTCAAAGGTCTCCAGGCCCAACAGTACAAACAACCTTTTAGTGTTAGTCTGAAGTTAATTTTTGCTTTTACGGTTACTCTCTTGAGGTTTTGAAAGGAGCTAAGCTAGCTGGAGCAAGTTGAATGTCTTTCTGGCCATGTGCTATACTTAATATACTTTGTCCTTTTGGACAAAGGAAAGCCCCCAAGTATTCTTCTCCAGCATTTGCGTCTCCAAAGCTTGTGTCCAAAACTGATCTTTTAAACAAGAAAGTGAAATTATATGTTGCCCAACTATAAAATAAAGTATAAATAACATTTGGGCGTTTCTTACTATTTTGAAAAGCTGCTACAACACTGTATTTATGACTATGAAGTTAATTGTAGATCTGTTGTTTGTAGGCAACTGGGGGAGGATATGAAGGTGAAGATGCATATCCCAATGCAGAACTTTTTTTCTTGGACATTCATAATATTCATGTCATGCGGGAATCTTTGAAGAAGTTGAAGGACATTGTTTACCCTAACGTGGAAGAATCACACTGGTTGTCGAGTCTGGAATCAACCCATTGGTTAGAACATATAAAGGTAACTTTTTGCTGTTTGGTTGAAATAGCGTTTGTCCAAATCTCTTGGGTCAGACTTGCTTTCTTTGCTAGGCTTTGAGACAGTCCTGGTAAGGAACACACTGAACTACTTGGACTACAAAACCAGCATCACTGACTGTTGGCTTTTTGCCGACTAGTCTGAGAGTATGTTACCAGATATCATCACTAAGCGATGGTAGATTAAATTTGATGTTTATTGTCTGCCTCAAGTCAAATGTCAGTCTTTTAATAGAGGAATGCATTAATAGTCTGATTGTCTTTATATGTGTGGGCACTGATTTAGTTTGGTTTCTAGCAATACAGGGCTACAGGTAACTGTCGTAGTGAAGGATTAGTAATTAGTTGTCAGTATGTATGTGATTTTATTTTGTGAATTATGGTTTTGCAAATCTTGCAAATTTATTTGTAAATTTTGTAAAGTTCATCTTGTAGCACAAATAAAATACTTAAACTGGTAATTCACCACTGTTCTTACTAGGTGACCTTTGAAGCTTTTGCCTCAAGTACAGTGGTGCAAAAGTAATTAGAGTATTATGTAATGAATCCTACTTAATAAAATTTTAATTTTAAGTTAATATTTGAAGAATAAGCATATTAGAAAGGTACAAGTTCCTTTTTCCAAAAACTGAGATATTTCCATAACTTAGTTCAAAGAAAGGAGCCAAATGAAATACAGGATTTTTAGAGAGTATTTCCTATGGTAAATCCTCTCTTTCTTTAAAAAGGAAGCCTGCTGTAGGTGACCCTGCTTCGGCAGGAGGGTTGGACTGGATGACCCACAGAGGTCCCTTCCAGCCCCTACCATTCTGTGATTCTGTGAAGCTTATGTTGTTTGGTTTATCAGGGTTACTCTTTCCTGCCCCATTTTTTAAGAATTTGCTGTGAGATGAATTAGATGCTAAGGGATTAGGGAACCAATCTGTTTCTCTATTTTTATACAAGAAATTTACTTGATCTAGAAAATTCTTTTCCAATTAACACCACCGTGCTTTTTAAGGTCTTTTAATGGAAACAGTATCAGTTTAGATACTGTGTAGATACAAAGAAATCTATTTTTGTTAGAATGATAACACTAATCTTCTGTGTTGTCTGGTGTCTGTTCCTCTCTGCTAGCTTGTCTTGACAGGAGCTATTCAAGTGGCAGACAAGGTGTCCTCAGGAAGGAGCTCTGTGTTGGTGCACTGCAGCGATGGCTGGGACCGGACCGCACAGCTGACATCGCTGGCCATGTTGATGCTAGACAGCTACTACAGAACAATTGAAGGCTTTGAAGTTCTGGTACAAAAAGAGTGGATAAGCTTTGGACACAAATTTGCATCGGTAAGAATTAGAAGATAATTGCAAAGACCATGCAATGTTGACATTCTAAAAATCTTTCAATGTGAAACTACTCATTGCGTCAAGGTTTGATTCTTTTTATTATTTTGGAATTACGATTTAAAACATTTCCAGGTAAATCTGAGCAGAACTTTTGTTTCTGGACCTATTTGGTTAATATCTTTTTGCTATTCTTTCACTGAGAACTTGTATTTTGTCCTTCATGCTCTTTTAAAAACACAGCATTGCTAGGGTTACTGCAGTTATAGAGCAAATAAAATGAGAAGGCAGAGAAATATCCTCCCAGACTTTTCAGAAGATGATCAAATAAGGCTGGGACATGAGGCTCCCCCCTCACCCTCCCTTTGGATTATTTTGAATGTCATGAGAGGCAGATGAATGTGTCTGGCCAATGTCTTTTAAGTAATGTTTTGAACGCTTCTTCCCAAATGTTCTAAACTTGTCATAATAACTCTCAAGAGGCTGTCACTGGCAATAATGGCTCTAGTTCTGTTCAGTCATCTTCTAGATGCTTAGAAGGTTAAGTAGAAATTGTCTATAGCAAGTCATTAATATCCTACCCATGGTACTCAACAACTTTTTTGCCTCAGTCTTCACTGGCAGCCTCTCTCCTCATCCCTCCCGAGTTGATGAATGGCATGAAGGAGACCAGGAGGGTAAAATCCCTCCAGCTGTAAGTGAAGACCAGGTTCGGGACCTCCTGCAGAACCTAAATGTACAGAAGTCCATGGGACCTGATGAGATGCATCCCAGAGTCCTGAGGGAACTGACTGATGTAGTTGCCAAGCCACTCTCCATGATATTTGAAAAGTCATGGCAGTCAGGGGAAGTTCCCAGTGACTGGAAAAAGGGAAACATTGTGCCCCTTTTCAAAAAGGGTAGAAAGGAAGACCCTGGGAACTACCGACCTGTCAGCCTCACCTCTGTGCCTGGGAAGATCATGGAACAGATCCTCCTAGAAGATACGCTAAGGCAC